TACATGCATGTGAAAATGTATATGCATATGTATGCGTTAGAGAAACAGTGGAGATGAAATTTGACACATCTGTAGCAAAGTGAAAGAAAAGGGGCGGTCATATTATTATTATTGTTATTATTATTAAATTTTTCTTTTTACGCAATTAACCATGCTAAAAGGCACGCTTTCTCCTTGGTAATTAGATCAGTCCAATAATGAGGGACAAACGTCGTGACGTGACGCAAGTATGCTTCGAATGGAAAACGGTACTTGCGCGGTTCGGGGGTTGCGCTGCAAGTGTCGGTAAAGATAGAGGAGGTATGATGAAAAAGCATGACGTTAGAAAGAGAGGGAGTATATAAAGAGAAAGGGTGAACACGGAAGGCAGACGAAGAGTGCAAGGGGTAGGACGTAGAAACGCACGACTAAAGTTAGAAGTGGGGAGACACAAGTGCTACTGGGCCATCGATCGGCTGCGCGGTCGTCGGTTGTAGCAGCTGAGCGTTCCAAACTGTACGCAGATATCCGTAGGACTTCTCTTAGCACTTTCTTAGATCGTTTTTTTATATATACATATACACTAGATGATATTCTGAAAGAGAGAGAGAGAGAGAGAGAGAGAGTGAGATTAAGAAAAAAAAGAAAGTAAAAGAAAGGAATATTGGAAGGGGTAAGAAAAGTATGAAGAAAATGAGAAAATAAAAAAAAAAGGAAAGAAATTGAGATAGAAAAAGTCAGAGAAGGACAGGGTCAAGCTAAAGGATTTGGGGATTACCGGGTAAAGGGATACATCCCCCTTAAATCCTTTTTGTCAATCCTTTGTTAGGTCGAGTTTTTCTCACAGACATGTAAGTACGTGTGAGTACCAAAAAAGAGATGTAAAAGAAACACAACCGTACTTTTAGCTTTAGGCCAATCTTTTTTTTTTCTTCCTCCTCTTCATCATCTTCTTTTTCCATTTCTTTTTCTTCTTCTTCCGCTTTTTCTTCTTCTTTTTCTGCTTCTGCTTCTTCCAGTATTTTAGGTCAAGTGGATCCCCGCGAGTCGTGTTGAGCTTGACAGTGTCATTTTCATGCGACTAGTAGAAGGTATGTACGTGTCGAGCGTACGTAGAACCTGCGCCGGCGGTAGACTACCTAAGATTATCATCGTAAGTACGTCTTTGAAAGCTTGTCCGTTGAAAGATGGCAAGAGCGAACCTAAGAAAAAAGGAAACAAAAATATAAGAAAAAGGAAACTAAAAACGAAAAAAAAAAAACAGAGAATTTAAACTTGTGCTTATACGTGACGATATTTTAAAAATAGTCCCGTTGATTTCGTCAATCTTATTAAATCTTTTCACGATCGTATAAACATTTGTTTTACTTATGAGATTAGCTTTACACAGATTTTAAAATCATGATAATTTATTTCAAATCAATATCCATACATTTCTACGCGTAACACGGAATTAACCCCTTATATTAAATAAAAAAGGTATTATCTTTAAATTAATGTCTCTCTCTCTCTCTCTCTCTCTCTCTCTCTCTCTCTCTCTCTCTCTCTCATTTAAAAAGAAAAAGAAAAAGAAAGGAGAAAAGGAAATCTTTAATCCGAGATGTCGTTTCTAATCTGGATTAGTGACGCTTGATATATGTTGCGTTACAATACTCATGAGAGACAATGTTCATCGATCGTTCTTTTTTTCATTTTTGATTCGAAGCATCTCAAGTATATAAGTATAAAAGTAAGTAACATACATTGATGTTAAAAAAACTTCTGGGAATATTGATTTTACATAAAAGAAAACGAAGGACAGGCACGTCTATAGGATTGGCTTGTAAGCTTATCATTTATCATTTCTCTTCTCTCTTTTTCTTTCTCTTCTTCGTTGTCCAAATAAGTGACTCGTTCGTACCGTACGAACAGCCCACGACGCCTGTGGAATGACAAATCGGTTAGAAAACACGATTAAAAGTAGTAATAACAGTTTGTGGTCAGACCACGATCCCCTACCGGTAATATTTAACGCTTATTATCGTCGGTATTTGAAATCAGACAATAAAAAGCGTGTCGTTGGCCTACTAAAAATTAAATGCATAGTTTCGAAACCTTTTTTCTATTCTTTTCGTAGTATCGATATGATTTTTAGAAAACCTTTATTCAAACTAACTTTCTCATCTGTACTAAATAATAAAAAAATAAATAGATAGCCTTGAACATATATATCTGTTTTTGCAACGTGATACTAAAAATTTATCATTGTCACAAAAAAATGAAAATGATCTTTCGGAAATACATATATATACATATATATAGATATCAAATAACTCAATTTATAAAGATTAATAGATCATATAAGATGATAGATACACGATCCTAAAAGCGATAAACTTACTATATCGTTGGCATTGATCCTAACAAGCGATCAAGTTCAACGGTAAGTATTCTGCACTTGGTGTCGAGCATACTACAGTCCAGAGTATGGCTGGCTAGATTTTCAAAGGTTCAAACGAAAGAATGTGAAGAACTATGCCCGGTGAGAGTGCAACGTAAGCGATTTTTTACCGAATGACGTAAGCATAGACAATCGAACGACAACGACCGTCGATGAATCATCAATGCTTATAGAAAAACCAATCGTTCTTACAAAATTTTTCTCTATTTGACATAATCAATTAAAATAAATAACAGAGAGAAATCGTCATGATTCATCAAACTTGTCAATGGTCATACATATTGGTACTTGTGATTATAGAATTCGTGTTAAACGCGTAGCGACGTTAAGAGTCCTTCTATCTATCTCTCTTTATCTCTCATGGTGGTCATGGTGACCGAGCTATTGAATGAGAACCTTTAGAAAAGACATTAGAAGACCGATCTGCCTGCCAATCCGTTAGAAATAATGGCTCGTAACGTGGCACTGAAGCTAACGACTTTATCTCGTTATTAATCGTTTCTGCATTCTTCTATCATCATAACGCGAGCAAGCGAACGCGCGCAAAAGAAAGAGAGAAATATAAAGAAATAAAAGGGAATAATAAAAAGGGAAGAATCGATCGAAACCACCTATTTGTGCACAATGCAATGTTCCCTCTCTCGTTCCTTCCTTCCTTCCTTCCTTCCTTCTTTCTTTCTTTCTTTATTTCTTTTTCTTTCTCTCTCACGCGAGCGCTTATTTTAACATAGAAAATGATATCACTCGAAATAGGTGGTACTGCAGTACCATTAACAGCAGTACCATCGTAGTTTTCACGAACATCCACGAAGGCCAGTAGCTTGCTTGACAATAAAGCTTCTATAAATTTTATTCCGTTTTCAGCAAGGTCAAGCATTTACTTCGAATCGTTGAAATTGGAAAGCTCCTGGGCCCATTATTCGTTGAAATTATAGAAAACTTGTTGTGTGTGCTTTGTACAAAAGCTCTAGAAGATCTGTTCGTTCGTTCCAAAGGAAGATGGATGATACGTATTTGGAAGAAAAAGAATAAGAAATAAAAGGAAAAATCCCTAGTAAGATATTTAAGAACTAAGATTAGTAAGAGAATATATATATGAAGAGGATTTATAAAATAATATTTTTCTCTTATATATTTTCGTAAGTTTGAAGCAAAAAATAAAACGTTTTGGTCCAGTAATGATAACTCCAGAAGGATCCTTACGAATGGTTGCACCCTCTTTCTCTCTCTTCCTCTCTCTCTCTCTCTCTCTCTCTCTCTCTCTCTCTCTCTCTCATACTTTCCATCGAATTTTGAAAACATTCATGACCTAGCTCGAGGACGAGGTTATTTTGTCGTGATGTCAAAGAGTCAGCAGCACTCAGTAGAAATTCTGGCGCTGTGCCAACCACCGAGAAATAGGTTATCGATCAACCTCTTGCTCTTGGTAATAACTACAGTCCAAACTACGATACGAAAGAGAGCTTTGACTCGGGAGATTTCATCCTTCCAATGTCTACCGCCTATTTTTTGTCTTTTTTTTTTGTCTTTGGCACAACTCTTTTAAACGACATGGATTTTCTTCGCGGAAGGAAGCATGAAACCATAGGATTTCTGAAAAATATATTAATAAATTATATAGAGAATTCTCTGAAGGCTTGTTAAAAGCGTTTGTGCATTAGTAAAATAACTAAATTCTTACTTAAACTAATATTTATATCTTTATAAAAATATCTAAAGATAATGTTTGCTGAACTATCAATCAATGGTACAGCGTCTGTGAATGGTTATCGAGCAAATGGCGCCGCATTCGTTTCCAATGCTCATTCAAAGAGCCTTCACGCATCAATGATCATGTATGCACCTATGTACGTCTATTCGTATCCTGTATTGCAAATATATATATACATATATTCTCTTTATAAAGAAAAACATTGATGAATCTATCTATCTAAAAATATCGACTAATTAATGATAATATAAAGGATTAATCAATCTTTCATTATTTCATTATCATCGTTGTTGACATTTAAATTACTTATACATAAGCTACAAATATTGGATTTTTTATTTGACAAAAAGTAATGTAAAGAAAAGAAAGAAGTGACAATAATTATTAATGCAAATGTGAAAGATATTCGGTCATGATATTTATAGAAGACTATTCGCGTATAATTCTCTGAGTGAGATTGATCGTGAAAACTCGGCCGAGTACAAATGATAAAAGTAGGTATATATATTCCATTTTTAGTTTAGTAGAACATACATGTTATACGCTTTCTAATCGAGAAAATAAACTTAGATTGATAACTAAATTAATAGAAGAGAAGGTTTATCGAATTTCTAATTAATTTATTTCTCTATTCTTCTTTTTGCTTTTTTAATGAATAACTATCGGAAATTCGATTCCATCGCGATAAAAAATTTCAACCTACGCGAGGGAAGAAACATTTATAAGATATATATACATACCTTCTATTATAACAATAATCAATTCTTTCTTACAAATACCAATAATTCAAGAATAAATTAATCGATAAATAATCTCTTTGCCAAAAAAAGAAACTTGACGATATAAAAACTACGATATTAATCTAAAAGAATTCGAAAAAATTTGATTTATAATAAGCACCATGTGTATCGACGAATCTCGCGCCATAACCGTTGGAAACCGTTAACGGTAACCATGAACACCCTTGTCGTGAATGTACGGGCTTCGTCCTGTCTGCCGCTAGGCGTCGCAGTTTCTAATAAAAATCACGCGTTCCTCGAAAGCAGTGGTATACACATATATATATATATATATATATATATATAGAAACGCGTTACAATACCTGAATATATATATATATATATATATATACATATACATATATAAGTTGTATAGAAAATCTAACTGTGTTGCGCCCTATAGCGGGTATTATACATGTAAAATAAGTAGTAGGGTCGCCGCTCGTCAGCCTTGCTGATGAGATGATTTATCGAGCGGGAAACCAGGTCTTAAACGTTTAGGTAGCAACAAACTGTCCAAACTTTTTAATATTGAATATACAGCCTTTAAAAGTAACAACATCTCTCTGTACGATATATAACAGGAAGAGTGACAGGAAGTGGGGAGAAAAGAGAGGAGAAGACAGAAGAGAAGGAAGGATCGACGCAAAATCGCTTCGAGTAACGTGGTCGACGTCGATGCGTGTACTATATATCGATGGGTGGCGAATGGGTTGCCCGTTGGGTGCTAGGCAGCAGCAGCAAGCTCGATCAAAGAAGAAGAGTGAAGAACACCTCGGTGATCGTCGAATAACGTGCCTGAAATTAAACAAAAAAAAGGAATCTCGGTAAAAGATGGTGGTGAACGTTTATCATTTTTGTTCATTATTTTAATAAGATTCAAGTTTAGCTTCGAAGGAGTTCCACAGGACAACGTTAACACAACAATCACAACGTCGATAACCGGAGAGGTGAAAGGATAATACTGAAGCAAGTAAAAGGGAAAGAAAGAGAGTGAGAGACAGAAACAGAGGGAGAGAAAGAGAAAGAGAAAGAGAGGAAAAGAGATAGATAGAAGAATCTCAAGAGAGTTTTCTTTACTCACAGTATGGAATTTATACCTGCACGCTCGCTTCTACTTTGAAAGGATTACTATAGTGGTTATTAGTAGTTATCAGTAACCAGACGAGAATATCACGACAACTTACTAACGATTCTAACGAAACGTGACAATCACGACGATATATAATCAACGACGTATGCAAGTACGTCGTGTCATTTGATAGAACGGAATTAGACAATCGTACGAGGCCCCCTCTTGTAAAATAAGCGACTCGTTATGTACCAATTTTTGCATCCTCGTAATCGCCCTTTACAAAGCCTCATTCTTGGCTTGATAGTTCTAACTTTTTATGCTTACTATCGTACCACCTTCTATGACATTCACCAGTTTGGTTCAGCTAGAAATTTCAGTGAGTATTATTCTTTTTTGATTTTTAATGTTTACCTCTTAGAGAATAATCATTATTCATTGAAAATTATTCCTTTTGAAATCCTTTGTGCAACAATCATCTGATAGATTTATTTATTTCAGGTCACAACATTTATCAGGATGCACTTAGAAATCAATCAAACCATAGCATAGATATCCAATCGGTGCCCAAAAATATGACGTATGAACCTTTAACTTTGAATTCTTATTCTCAACATAATGCAAGCAATCCTGCAACAATTATCACTACACTTTCTACGTCATCTAGTTCTCAAGTTTTGTCTTCCGTAAGCACCTCGCTTAATCTGAAACAAAGCAGTGAAGTACCTTTATTGGAAACAGAAATAGTTGTCAATACACGAAAGAGCATTTCTGTAGTTTCTAATGATTATGCACGTGCCATATATGAAGCTGGACATACCGTACCTATACCAGAAAGATGTCCAGATTTTGGCAAAGAAATGGACTTGGTTATTATTATAATGTCAGCACCTACGCATGTGGAAGCAAGAACTGCAATCAGACAAACCTGGGGACATTTTGGACAAAGAAGAGACATCAGTATACTCTTTATGTTAGGTGCTACTTTAGATTCTAAAGTTGAAAAAGTACTTGAAAAAGAAGAAAGGATATATGGTGATATAATACGTGGAAAGTTTTTAGATTCTTATTCAAATCTAACTCTTAAAACAATCTCAATTTTGGAATGGGTAGACAGTTATTGTTCCAAGGTGAAATTTGTTCTGAAAACAGATGACGATATGTTTATCAATGTTCCACGTTTGTTAGCATTTATAAATAAGCATGCAAAAGACAGAAGTGTTATATTTGGCAGATTAGCCAGAAAATGGAAACCGATTAGAAATAAGAAGAGCAAATATTATGTATCACAAACACAATTCAAGCAGTCCGTATTTCCAGACTTTACTACTGGTCCAGCTTATCTATTATCTAGTGACATAGTGAGAAAATTATATGACGCAGCCTTGGACCAAACATACCTTAAACTCGAAGATGTTTTCATGACTGGAATCGTTGCGCATAAACTAGGAATTAAGCGAGTGCAAGCTAATGAGTTCCTCAACAAACGAATAGCATACAGTCTCTGTAACATACAACGGGGAATAAGTATACATATGGTGAAATACAGCGAACAATTCGATCTCTGGAAGAAGTTGCTCGATGGTAAGAGTAAATGTAAGTGATAAGAATAGATAGAAATTGTATACATAATATTAGGAGAATCGAGTGACAAGAGACAGGGTCCTTTGTCACTAAAATTTGACTTGATTCTCTCATTCTATTTTACATTTAATAATTACCACTTTTTGGTGGTCTGCGATATATGTATATTTTATTCTACTTTTACGGCCTCAATGAATAAATACTCTACATAATGTAGCCCATAAGTAATTTAAATTATTCTAAGTATATCAAATAATAAGATTTTATATTTTAAGAATTGGAGTCTATGTTTTGACACATAGTTAGTATTTATTGCGAGATAATATGCCAGCAGGATGATATAGTTTTTTATTGTCATATAATTGGTCTTCTTCTTTTTCCCATTGATATATATTATTATTAATAAGCTTAAAGCTTTTTAATTTTCTATGACGCAACAAAAAGGAAGAAGTGAATTTCACGTTTAAACGCATTTTATATCGCACAACTCTTACTATATATGTTTTAATATTAAAAAAAGGAAGAAAGAATATTAATCAATGAAATCTAAAAATATTCTAATGCCATTTTCTTAACCAGTGATGCTCAGTTTGTTTAACAATAAGTAAGAGTATTTCAAGCAACTACAAGCTATCAGAAAAATGTTCACTTGAGCACTGCTGCCATAAAACCAATAATTTTCCTACAATATATTTATACATATATTTTACTCATATAAATATATATTACAGTAAGGAGATCGTATTATATTTGGACTGGTCGTATATAAACTTCTTATTTAATAATTTACATAATCATAAAAGAACAATCATATATATATATATATATATATATATATATATGTGTGTGTGTGTGTGTGTGTGTGTGTGTGTGTGTGTGCGTGTGCGTGTGTATACATTTATAATATGCATATATTTTTTTTTCTCTGAATTATTATCTAGTCATTGTCTAGATAATATCTCTACATACATGTAAAAGTAAACTTCCACGTTATTTATTTATTTTTTTTTTTTTTTTATTTTACTTTAAAAAAAATTCTCAATATCTACCTGCTCACGAATAATACGTAGTAGACATTTATTTAATTAAACTGTGTTATGTTTTCCAAGTGCCATATATATAAAAGGATAAAATAAAATGGTATTGTGTCGTATACGAAAAAAACTATTTTCCTAATGTTGAAAAAACAAGAATTTTGTTTTGAAATTCTTTGGGTTTGTGACCTTAAAATATGACTGTGTTTTCTCGTTTCTTCCGTCTCTCTCTGTGTGTCCTTTCGTTTTATTATTATTATTACTAATTGTTATCACGAGAATAATATTATATATTTAAATAAACATAAATCATTTTGTAAACAAAGAAAAATGATTACGAGATAATGTGATTCCAGTATTAGAAAAAAAAAAGAAAATAAAATATAAAAAAAACGTTTAGGCCAAGGTTTCGTCGAGTAATGCAAATGAGAGCCGCTTGAGAGATCTGATAGTGGCCTTGACACAATTTTCATTCGCATCGAATTGAGATTTTATGATGGCACGTAATTATTATCAATTAGGTGCTCACGTTATTTCATTCTCCTCGACGTTGCATTTATCGCTGATGTGCGTAACAAAAGGGTATAAACGATCCTAAACGATCGCATCTGATAAACGATTAGAATGTAGAAAGAAACTAACTTCCACGTGCAAAAAAAAAAAAAAGAAAAAAAAGAAATAAAATGAAAAAAAAAAAAAAAATAAAATCCTACGAATACAAATCATGTATTAAATATACATAGTAAGTAATTTACGTGATACAAACTTTTTAAACGAGACAAAACCAATAAAAAGATATAAAACTAAAGAAAGAGAGAAAATTACAAAAAAAAAAATAAAGAATCGATGTTTTTTACTCGTATCTATAATAATTAACAATAAACTAAAGTTTTACGTAATCATAAAAAATATTTTGTAAAAAGAAACAACTTCGAACCCTATTTTGTAAGTGAATTCTATAATGAAAATAAGATCGCAACGCGTGTAAAAAATACAAAAGCACGTAAATTTCGAGTAAAAGAAAAAACAATTTGAAAGAAAAAACAAAAAAAAACATACATTGTATATATATCCTATATGTACACATATATATAATATATACATATATATATATATATGTATATATGTATATTATTACCCTCGAAATATTTCAAGTAAATATCTTCGACCGGTTTGAAGAATATCAGATATGAAGGCAAACGAAAAAGAGAAAACTTACTTAAGATTGCACCAGACATATTGGAATTGCACTGAAATGTTCCGATAAAAAGAAAATCTACTAGCGTAGTACTGGTACTTATGTATTGTAGATGTGAAATTGGCGGTTTGTATTGTATGCATGCGTGTGTGTGTGTGCATCTGGTAACATCACGTGACTTGTCTCTCGCGACGTTACTCAAGAAAGAGAAAGAGAGAAATAAAGGAAAGAAAACGCGCAAAATTGAAATTGATCTTTTTACATTCCTATTAACATTAAATTATTCTAAAAACAGAAACACACATTCCATATTTTAATATTTATATATAATAATGACGATGTAATATTATTCATTTAAATTTAAATGATCTTAATTTGATTTACTACTTGTCTTCCATTTTTTCTTTTTTTAACGTACTAATAGATACTTTTAAATTTATCTATCATTTAAAAAAAAAGATATTTGAATATTAATATTTGTATATACGCTTCTGAAAATATTTATTTGAAAATAATTACGTTTAAAGTTAAACGGAAGCAAAAGAAAAATTGAGATCATAGTAATTAGGTGTAGAAATAAAAAAAATAAATGATTCATATTAGATCGTGACATTTCAAAAAAGGATCACGCAATAATATGCGGTATATATTGAACACCTTTCTAGAACTAGTCTCTAAAGATTGTGATTTCTTGTTCTTTTTTTCCAAGTGTATCATTACGATCCAGTAAATTCTCGTTACGAAACGAACGAACGAACGAACGAACGAGTGAATTCACTGAGGGTGAAACTCTTTTACGCAAACGACCGTAATTAAATGCAAATACTGCGTGTACTCGTCGAAATTAGTGTTTGCACCGATGTCAGTTCGGTCGTTCATCCTTCCTTGGCTGCCAATGCAACCAGTAACAAAGAGTTGCGAGACAACCGTCGACGACGATTACTTTTGTCGATAATAAGGAAGGAGGTCAAGCGTGAAATCACGAATAAATTGAATGAATCAAAAGCATTTCTTAATTTTGAAATTCTTTCCTTCCTTCTTTCTCTTTCTTTTCCTATTTCACATTATTTTTAGTACTGTGTCTCTCTTTTTTTTTTTTCACTTAACCTTAAGTAATTCAAATTAAATCAACCATTTGACGTAATAATTGGGTAATAAAGTAATTATAATACTTATTCGATAAGGAATATTTTTAACCGATACCTACATCACGTCCTTCATATATAATATTACTTGATTATGGTTCTGCATTGTAGTTGAAAATGATATAACTGTGGAAAAGATTATCCAATTTCCAATATAATAATACTTGATTGTTCCATTGAATTTTTCAAGTTATATACTTGAGAATGAATTTTAACGGATATACGCTTTATTAAAGCTAAGTCAAAATAAAATCTAATTATATCATGAAAATAAAAGAATTACGATAATTAACTTAAATTCATGAAAATAATTATATTTTTAATAGGAATGAAATAAAATTATTATCTTTATTACTTATTTTCATTTCTAATTGCAACTTATTGTGCAATATTTTGTTATATTTTGATTTATAATAACGTCACGTAGAACAGTTGGTATGATTTCTTTCTATATTACCGACTATTTTTACATAATTTTAATTTTTGCCAACTTCAGCGCTATGATCTGCACTATCGATAATGCAGCTCATAAAATAGAAAATAAATTAATGAAAAGAATCCAAATTAAATGATATAATAAAAATTCCTATATTTAATAATATATATATTTATATTATTTTAAAATTTTATCTCCTAATCGATTTGTGCAGTAATAAATTTGCGCGCGAAAGGAATTCAAATAAAATTAGTAATTAGTGATGGTAAAAAGTTAAACATTTCCATTGCGCATATGTAAATATATCTTAATGATATTTTAATGAATTTAGCCAACGGTGTGATTTAATTACTTTATAATTTGTATATTTATTTTGTATTTAAAATAAAATATAAATAACGTTTCAAATCGAGTAGTCGAAGTGTCACAATAGAGATTGTATGCGCTTGCGCAGTTTCTTATCCTTATCACTTATGAATCAGCTGATGACAAGAGTAGACGTTGCGAATTAGAAAAAATTACTTTTGTGTTATAATTTCAAGTAAATATGTCGTTAAATACAGCGCACGCTAATGGAGGCGTACTTATTCACGCTGGAGAAGTGTAAGTATAATAAAATAATTAAATAAATAATATCATAAATGTGCTATGCGTGTGTAGATGTAATGCACTCGTTCGATTGCATCGACTACTAACATTTCTGTAACATCGTAATAACGCATTTTAACCATAAATCAATTTTTCTACAAACTAATAGTCTAGTTCTCATTACAATCAATGATATAATTTAATTATATTAAACATTTTTAATAAAATTTAGGAAATTAACCTACATTGGATATTTTTTCTTACAATTAATCATATGTCACAAAGTCAATATATGTCTTGTGTGACGTGTCTAGAATTTCTTTAATTTTTTTTTTTTTTGTATACTTAACTTTATGTTACAATATATAATCGATATTACTGAGTTCTTTTTTAACATAAATACTTGTAACTTATTGTTATTTTATATTCTTTTAGTATTTTGTTATATTGCGACAATGTTTCCATGGAATTTCATGGTCAAGAACAGTCCGCATTTATTGGTACAAAACGTGGAAGATTATACTTGACAACCCATAGAATGATTTTCAATGCCAAAAATACAAATGATGAAATGAAATCATTTAGTTTTCCATTTATTACATTGAGCGAAGTTGAATTAGAGCAGCCTATGTTTAGCGCAAATTGTATCAAAGGAAAATGTCGAGCTCAGCCTAATGGAAATTGGATAGGGGAATGCAAATTTAAATTATATTTCAAGAGCGGAGGTGCCATTGAATTTGGCCAGACCATGTTAAGAGCAGCAGAATTGGGTATGATCAATGTCATAATATTATGCAACTTTATAAATCCCTACATATTAATCTCTTGCCATAAAGATTGCTAACGTTATTGCATGATAATTGCATGGATTTGTTTTGTGCTCTTAATAGCACAACGTAATGGGCCCGATCATGATGCACCACCACCATATACACCACCAACAACAGGATGGTATGCAGCACCTCCAGTAGCTTATTTAGCTCCAGGAACTAGAAATTATGGATGGATGCCACCAGGCAATGTATTTCCTGATGCTCCGCCAGGTGAACTTTCAATATAGACAATTTTCTTTATAGCATTATGTATTATTAAACTTTTAAGAAAAAGATATAGTATACATAACTACACGTTTATTTGGTATCTTTATATTTACAGCAAATAGTGTCTTTATGACCGAGATGCCACCTCCCTATCCCGGTATAAATTCTCCTTATCAGGGTTACGCAAGTGGAACACCACAAAACCCGCAAGGTGCATGGGGTGGTGTCAATCAACAATCGAATTGGGTACCAACGCAACCAAATGGAGCACCAGGAATGGCCAATCCAAATTACCCTCTTGGAGGTGTGTATCCAAATTTTAATGAGTATCAACAATGTCCACCGTATACACAAAACCCACCATACACACAAAGTCCACCATACACACAAAGTCCACCATATTACACTCAAAGTCCTCCATATACACAAGTTCCGCAATATCCACATAATCCACAGTATACACAAAATCCGCTATATACACAATGCCCACCATACACACCATATCCAGGTGGTAATAATTATTATTCAAAATAATTGTTTGTCTCATTTAATTAGATTTTAATCATGGATTATTATTAAAAATTCCAATTGATATGCTTTTTGAAAAAGTTTGAGTCTTAAAGTATATTTTTATGCAGCAAATTATTAAAGTATTATATTGTTACCCATTTAAATGTTATATATATATATATATAAATACGTATATACGTTCTTATATTTACTTTTTACAACAATTAACACTAGAACTATCATACAATTTTTACCATACATCTGATAATTTAATTCAACAAAAAAAAATAAATATTTCATTTATTATTTATTTTATGTGATTTCACAGCAATGAATAATAATAACTTATTTTTAACAATTCTCTAATAATTGTGATTTTGAGTATGTAACAAAAATTAGCTTTAAAATCCATCATTTTGATGGATTTAGTAGTTCTAGTGTTAAAGTATATCGTCTTTAAGAAATGTTAAAATATTTGCATCAATATATATATATATTGATGCAAATATTAATATATTTATATATTATATAATATATAATATATATATATTAATAAATATGTATATATTATATAATATATAATATATATATTAATAAATATGTATATATTATATAATATATAATATATATATTAANTATTAATAAATATGTATATATTATATAATATATAATATATATATTAATAAATATGTATATATTATATAATATATAATATATATATTAATAAATATATATATATATATATTTATTAATTATTGTAATGTAGCAGTTAACAATATATTGTTTCTAAGAAGTTATGACTCTCTGAAACTAGTTATATAATTGATATAACGTGGTATTAAAGATTAATAAAAAATTATACGCTGTTTTTATTTAATACCTTTCAATTACAAATTTAAATTAATTAAAATATTTTCAAAATATTATTTTTCTGTAACACCTGTTGACTCACGTCAAGTTTGAAAGTTTTTGCTAACATTATGCAATAGCGTTGCATAAATAGTCTTTGAGTGGCACATTGTGAGATTGACTTTCACTGAGCTTAGTTATTATCTCACTAGTATCATAGATATTTTCTAAATGAATTAACAAATGTAATAACTACATTTTTATTCTTTAATATTCTACTTTCTTTAGTGAGATATTACAGAGAGATCCAAAATAATTTAATAAAATATATAATATAATTATTCTAGTGAAATATTTGTAAAAAAAAAAAAAAAGAAAGGAGTGTAAATAGCTTAGCAGTGTTTTATTTTGTGATTAAATAATATTACTGAATAAATAGAAAAATGTCTGATCAAAAAAAGTTTGGCATGTTTCATATCTATTGTATGTATTACATTTTTTTATTTAATATATATTTTTTTCCGTATATAAAGTATAATAAAAATACATTAAACTACACCATGTTGTAGATACCAAAGCTGCGGAGGCTACTCAGAGCGCATACTATGATCCCAATAGACCTCAATGCGCTTATGTTCCACCACCTGCATATTATGTAAGTAACTTTTATAGTTTAATGTATTTTGAATTTTGTTTTTTTACAAATTAGTGTGTTTATATTATATTAATACTTTATTAAATTCAGGAAAGCCCTCCAAGCTTTCAACAAGCAACGGGAAAAAAGGATCAGTGAGAAATTCTATCGCCTGGATAAAAGAATTAATGACCGGAAATGACTCTTTAAATAAAGCAGTATTACTGCATTTTTCTTGTAGCACTGTATATGTTACATTTGCATCTTATATATATAAAAAAACAACAGAAAAAACAAGCTGTATGCATTCCACTAAAAATAATCTGCATATTACTTCTTTGCACGTATGGCTCTGGCATTGTAAAGCATTTTTATCATAATTATTAATCTGAATTTGCAAATTTATATAAGAAGAAAAAAAGAGATAGAGAGAGGGCTCGTTGCAAAAATGACAAAAATTTTTGAATGTAATAATAATACATATAGTATTTAACTATGGTGTATAAAATGTTCTACAAATATTTACTATTATTTGTTATAGGTAAAATATATATGTGAATTGCTACACAATATACACAATTTTATTGTTGTATTTTATTAGACCCAATTTATATGATAAATAAAGCTTGATATACTCAACTTATCAAAAGTTTATTGCTATACATTTATGATATTTTTTCTTATACAATATTTTACATTTAATTTCATAAATATATAATATATAAAGAGTAATATTTAACAAATATCAGGTTTGACATTTTGTATTAATATTAGTATTTTATATAATTAAAGAGAATATTTAATATAAACATATAATTAACAATTGAATGTATTGAGAAATTTTATAAATATTTAAAAATATATATTTTTTATTGTGGTATATTTCTATCATAAAAAAGTTGCTATATTAAAACAAGAATTATTTTTTTTATTATATATCTACATATGTGTTTGTATATGTAAATTATTTTATTTATATATTTTTATATTTTTAATAATTTTACTTTAATTTTTTGTTTCGATAGACTAGCTTTAACAATGGCAAAAAATTATAAACATTTGGATAAATACATCTTGAAATAGAACATTATTAGTAAAAATAATATTTTTTATTTATCTATATAAATAAAAATAATATTTATTTAAACTAATAAAAAATTATGACACTTTTTTTTTTTTTTTAAATGTCATATATATATCTTTATATATATATTTATATGTGTCTATAAAAATATAATACTTTTAATAAAATACTGATCATTAACAATAATCAAATTTAATTTTAGTAAAATATTAATCTCTCTATCAGTGATTTTAATTGGCACATTCTAGTTTTATATACGTAAATAATATTCATTTGTATAGAGTTGCATATATATTGTACATAAAACTATATATATATATAATATGATTCTAATAGACTTAAAACATTTTAAAAGATCTTTGAAACAATGTAAAATATCTGGCAAGTAATAATTAATTTACAAGGTACTTATTATTTTGTACTAAAAGATCATTAGAGCTAGAAAATAAAAGGAAGATTATACCGATATCAAATCATCTTTGTCTATCCATATTCAGAGGATATAGTTAAACTAAATTTTCCATTTTCTGTGTACGTACTGTGATACCATATTCTTGTATCCAAAAGAATAATATCTCCAGTGTCAACAGAGAAATTAAATGGTTTACAAACATGATTGCATTCAGGAGTCGGTGCAAGAATCCATTTTTTACTACCTATGAGTTGTCCTTGCCACATCAGTCGAGATATATAATCAAGCTAATAAAAAACAAAAGAATATATAAAATTGTGTGTTAAATACTTTATATAAAACAGATGTTATATTTATTATTGTAAATATTGAAAGAGAGACATTGAATCTCTTTTTAATATTAAATACACATGTATTCAATATTTTGTGTTACTAAGGTTCATTGTCATATTTTAACACATACATGCATATTAGCTCCCTGTTTATAGCCCATAAATATATAATTTGTCTGTGGTACTTCTGCATCATCTGGGAAAAACTCCGGCACGTTATAAAATTGTCTCATGACATCTAAAACTTCTGGATGACAATTTTTCCAACCGACATACCATGGCTCTTCACCTTCCTCATTCATCGCTCTTTCTTTGCTCATTGCAAAGACTTCACGCAAGTTATTGAAGTCGCTGTTAAAATGTAAAAATTGACTTTCCTCTTCTATTGATTCATATGCACCTTCGATATGCTCGTATAAATTTTGAAAAAATTCAAAACTAAAGATATTCGATGCTGGCCAATGGCTGGTAGCATTTTTTATTATTATAGGTTTGGATGAATAAGCATAAGATTCAAATTCCTTTTTAGTCACATTTGACAATATTATTGGCATATTGATGTTACGACAATAATCACAATTTGATATCGGTCTTGTAAATTCCCATATCAAATAATTGTTTGGCACGATACAACGAGTTTCATACAAATTTTTTTTTATAACATCAATGTACAAATACGTGAAAAATAAACCATAAATAACGGATATTAATATAACAACAAATGCTTTTCTGAAATAATACGCATTATCATTATTATTTATTTTTATATTATCCGTCATGCCGATGGTCATTTTTAGGTCGTTAATTGTTACTCCATATTTTAATAAATCTTCGGTTAATACAAGAAACGTTTCTTCTATAAGTTCTAAACGTTTGTTAATTTCCATAATTTTATCTATAATTTTTGAAGTAGAAATCTTAATATGTCATAATATTATATTTTTAATCTGAAATTGATAATTATTATATTTTATTAATAAATATATAATATTTTAATCCTGAAAAATTTTCTATTAATTTTGATTTAAAAAAAAAAAAAAAAAGAAATGTTTAATATAATAAAATTATCTATTTAAGTATTTTAATGTGTATCTCAAATTTGATTAAACGTTTTAAATGTTTTTAAATTAATCATATGATTTAATTTATCTAATTGATCAACAGTTGAATTTTAAACCTAACCCAAACTTATAAAAGAACATTACAAATATGTCAGAATTCATTGTTTCTATAAATTATTTTTTTGAAACGTTGAGTATGTAATGATATTAATATCAATTATAAAAAGAACAATTATTATAAAGGAAAGGGGAATATATTGAAATATAATATTTAATTTAAAAACTCACTTTCATGTCTTTATCATGCAGTATCATATCTAACCTTGAACTACTTATGACTGTCACTTATTCATAACAATGATAACATTGGAGACTTATAGAATACAAAATAGTAAAAGGTTTTCTTTCTATTCTCCACAAACGCATAACATCTGCTTTTAACATTTTAAGCTACTAAACAGCGTTGCAGCCCACAAGCATATCAATGCAATACCTTAATAAGTCATTTCCTGTAATCCATGTGGTTAACAGATGTAGACCAACTAACATAAGAGAGTTTTGCCTCAACAAAATGCAGCATTTAGAAAGAAAGAGAGAGGGAGAGAGGGAGAGAAGGAGAGAAGGAGAGAGAGAGAGAGAGAGAGAGAGAGAGAGAGAAAGAAAGAGAGAAAGAGAATATATATTTTACTTTTAAATGAAATATTTTCAAATATTTATAAACATGATAAAATTAAAATTAACAAGCAAACATATTAACAATAGAAATTATAAACAAAGATTTGTTAAAGTTTTTAAAACTTCTCATTTTATTTTATCAAATCACACAACATAATTTACAAGTTGTATTTTTAAATGATCCTCCAATACACAGACTTTAACCGTTTGATGAGTGCGGCGAAGCGCTATCGCGCTTCGCTTGTCATATGCTAAAAATGCGGACGAGCGCGATCGCGCTTCTCTTGTTTAGCCAAGAATGCGGAGACGCGTGACCACGCCGCTGTTCGTTAGTATACTTTTCGTATTAATTGAGAACAKTCGTATTTATATTTATTGCATTTATTATTAATTTCGTKTAATTGTRTTTTTYAATTATATAAAAATTAAAATAAGACACAGTGATAAAATTTAGTAGAGCCGTGGATAATGGTACGGTAGAAAAAATGAGCCAATGTTATAAGATAGATAAATTTCGATTTTAATTTTTTTAATCATCATTACAGCTATAGGACATTTGCCAATTTTTACAAAAACAATTTTTTATTTACCAAAATAAATTATATCAAAACAATTGGATCACCTTTTCTATTGTATCACCATCTACGGCACTACTATATTTTACCACTGTGTTTTATTTATTTATTTGTGGTAAAAAACTTTTTATTATTTTAGAGAAATTAAAAATTGTTTTCATTTTTTTAACTGAAATTTTAACTGAAACTGATAATTACAAAAAGCACTATGCCAAATTCTGATTCATCTGAAAGTGACTATGATATGAGCAGTAATGATGAAGAGTGTAGTAATGACTTTGAAACTGATAGTGGAAGTGACATCATCATTCCTTCTAAAAGATTACGAATATATAATATTAGTGATAGCAGTGATGATGAGGAAGTAACTGAAAGTGCCTCCAATGGCGATAATATCGATGAATTTTTACCCGTGAACACAATATTTTCGAATGAATCGAATAGTTTTTTTGAAGTACCTGGTCCAAAACATGCCCCTGCTTCTGATGCGAAACCAATTGAATATTTCAATAATTTTTTTTCAAATTCGCTCTTCACTACAATGGTAACGGAAACGAATCGCTATGCTGAGCAGTTTTTGAATTCCGGAAGAAGATTGAAACGACGTTCACGCGCAAGGTCTTGGGTACCAGTAACTGTTACAGAAATGAGAGCATTTGTTGCAGTTCTATTAGAAATGGGCA